CTCCCTCCCTCCCCGAAAGTTTACGTTCGCTTGCGTGACTTTTTTCAGAGCGGAAACAGCCACGTGCCGGGCTGCGGATGTCCCTCAGACGCAGAGCAAACTGACACCACATGCGCTGATGTAACGTAATTCAGATCGTTTCGCTTGAACAAATCCTTTGGGGCGCTTCTCCTCGATGCGTGGGAATGGCTACAGACGACGCCGTTGTGCGTGGGTGGCCGACAGGCCGTGGTGCGTAGGAGGCAGGCAGGTTTTTTCAAAGTCACAGTGCTCACGTAGGCCACTCGATACTCTTACACTTCGTGGTTCGTTTTTGGCTGTGTCACTGCCACGTTAGATCCATACGTTTACTCCATATCGTTTTTAGTAATAAACTCGTTTGTTCCGTATCCTTATTTATCAACCGAAAACATTTTCTCGCTTATTAATTATATTTTGCAAATATACACAGCCAATTTGTTGTGGACGGAAGGTAAAAGCAGTATTCAAAAACACAAATTTTCAATTTGTCACTTGCCTAAAATGTAATAAATAATGTCGAAAAAGGGGACAAAAAAGCGCAACAACGAGTATTGATGCATATATTAGATAAAATAACTTTGTGGAGATTTATTAATGAATTAATATCTGATGAACAGGCGGCTGCAGCTTCAGGGCATTTGCCGCACTGAGGGTTGTCAAGTGCCATCATCTCACCCCTGACCTAATTGTACGATCACTTCCCATCCCTAAAACATCCTAAAGTCTTTTGATTCAAATATAAAACTGATGAAATTATTTCGTTTTGTTTCTTTGATCTTTTTATGTGAATTTTATAACTATTTACATTCGCTATCACTTGAGATTCCACGGCCTAGGTTTCATGTGTATGGTTTTTCTGCTTTTGAAGGCGGTAATGTGAGCATCATTCATTAAGTTTCGGACGGAATGTAGTAGTTTTAGTCTTCATAAAAGTCCTTAGAGAATTTTGTGACATATTATTTCATCACAAATATATTCGGTGTTTTGTCTTTTAGCTCTTCTTCTGTATTATCTATATTATTGCCTTGAACTCTCGTAGTTTAATTTTCGTAAGGAAGTTGCATGTTTTCTGTGCGATATATCGAGCAATAAGTAATGGTATCTTATCTATAAGAAAAGTGGGAAGAGTATTCGGGGAAAATAAATGAAGTGCATTGAAGTACTGTCTTAACAGATAAAAGGAGACAAAAAATAAAACTCATTTTCTACAAATAGTATGGAAATGTTAAATCACACATGAATGTTTTCGTTGTACCCTCTTAGTATAAATTCGTGAAAAAAAATGTTGAAAAATTATATCCAACGTGTGTGCGAAAGTCATTCCAAATTGTTAAATTTGGTACTTTTGAACTTGATGAGTTTGTAATTACTCATTACCCAAAAGTATCTGTAATGAGTGATGAGAACATTGTGTCAGAATGTAGATATGTTTTACGAACACATGTTACGTCAGTTTTCGAGCGAACTCATTTATTTCTGGATAATTATTATCTTTTACCTAAACAGACCATTAAGCTTAAGTGATTCCTATTATCATAAATTGATTTTTCTTTCATGTATTTCCTTAGCGTGTATTTAACGTCTTTTGGCGAGAATCATCCGGAAAATTTTGTACTTAAATTTTTCGACATTGTGAATTTTTGGAAATGATAGAAATTTTGATTTGTTCGCTTTGCTATTTTTACTAGTCTCAAATATTGTTTGATCTAGCATAAAGACAGTTTAATCATGTGAAGGTATATTTGCGACACAGTGCATCTCACTGCTTGGTGGAATGTGTTGTTTAAATTAAGAAAATGTCAATTATTGCTCTATAGCAAATGCTCGTTCGTTCTCAGCAACATAAGGAGATTTTATTTTTACTGAAATATGTCGAAACAATTGAACACAAACTTCAAACTACAATGACACATGCTGCCCAATTCACGATATTCTGTATGAAATCAATGAAGGATCGTGTAGCTCTACACCTCAAAGTCCAATATACATTGACTGTAGGAATGTTATTTTTTATAGTACTCCAATTCAATTAGGTAGCAAATGGCGTGAGATATAATGTACATCTGAATTGTCTCAGAAACTTTTTTCTTTCGATATTTAATATTTCTGAATTCTTTCTTTCAACTAATTACTGTAATTTTTACGCCGTTTTTAATGAAAGATTGTAAATAACGTTAACGTAACTTTAAATAATGAGTATTTTTTTTTGTTTTTGTTTCAGGTATGAGAAAGCGCCCTTGTACTACTCGTATGAGAGAATGATCCTGGAGTTGCCTGCAATGACGGTGAGTTGGACGAGCGTCTGTCCGTGGCGTTTTGAGTCGTGCATCAAAAGCGTCGCGTTCCGGTGTGCTTCGAGAAGCGAGAGGTTCGTCGCCCTGCAGTTAATTGGATGACCCAGGCGCCCTATTGTTGGCGGGTGGCGTCGTTAAGAGGAGGGCGTTCCCGGTGGGCGGCTGTGTCTCCGATTGCGACGTTTGCGACAGCCCCTCCTCCCCCCTCTCCAAGGTCAATTAACGTGCCAAGAGAATTGCGCAGTTTATCTTCGTACACATGCAGCTTTAAATGGCGCTGTAATGTTTTCGTCTCCACTTTCTGTGCCTATCGGTAATGTGAAAATAACATTTGTCCTTGGCGGACGACGCTTCACCGACTCTTTCTGTTCAGCGTATCAACTGATGACACTGCAGTGCCTCTCAACGGGAGGTCCTAGAATTCGAGTCCCGACGGTGGCAGGATTTTCGACACTAGCTACAGAGCAAGGTCGAATTTAGCCGCTGACTGCAGGAGAAGTCTGGCGGCCGGCCGCACTGATCAGTGATAACAAAGGCGAAAGGCAGAACAGAACCTTAATAAACGAGTCACTGACTGCGCGTGGTCTTTCCTTCCTCCTTGTTCTATCCTCTCACCTTTTTCTCTCTCTTTCACACACACGCACACACACACACACACACACACTCGCACACACATACACACGCTACCGCACTTCTGGAGCCCAGAGCTTAACCCGAGTATGGCAATGCTCCGCTAGTAGGATATACTTGATTGGGGGAAACGCCGCATAGCGACTTGTTGGTCGGCGACGGGTCTCGCCATAAAGTGGGATAAATACATGCACTACATGTACGGGAATAATGAACACATCCTTTCACACACCCGTAAACATCAATACGTTGACTCTCTTCATGTTTATAGAGTATCCTAAAGCATTTGTAGCTAAAAGTGCAAATTAAGGATTGACTGAAAAGGCCCAGGGCAATAGCAGTTAGCACTTTAGCCTGTTTGATCGGGAGATCGTATGGTCCGAGTGCCGGTAGTGGTAGATATTCTAGTAGAAAGTGAGGTCATATTCATCCACTTTCTGGAAGAGAAGCTGACTGCTCCCCTGCTGAGTAGTTTTCCGTGCTTTCTTAATAAATAATCCCATTATCATCGGCAAAATGTTATGAGATATTACTTAAGATCCGTATCTGTAGGTTTTGGCACCGTGATGATCAAGAGAGAACATGCCTTTTTGACGGCGGACTGGTACTCACACTTAGTTGGATATATCGATAATCAGCTAGATTGTTAGTATCAAGTTCATATGTGGATACTTAAATGAGGAATATCTTTGGTTTCCGTGGCCATTTCCCCGCAAATGGCAGAACAGCATCCTGATCGTAGGCCCGTAATAGTGCGAAAGCTTTACTCAGTTTGCCTTCCTTCCTACTCATCGCCTCCAATTAGGACACGGACGTTTTGCTGTGCATGCCCTTCGTCCACACGTATGCAGTATAGAGCCCAGTTTTAAATGAATTTATATTTTTTAATGAATACTAGACTAATATGCGACTAAGCATTCTGCGTATACACATTTATTGAAATTAGCGTAGTTTAAGTGGCATATGCGGTGGAAATTATTTTTAATCTACCAGGGAAAAGAGAAACAATGTACTCAAGTGAATTGAAGTGGATATACGTGTTTAAAAATGTGGATAGTATAGGAATCTTAAATTCACTTACCGATTCGAGTTACGCACACTTGAACAGAAGTGGAATGGAACATCGCAAGTTTTCATTTACCGTTGCCCTAGTGTTTCTATCCAAGCTGGAATACTTCTACGAATCATTGGCATGCAGTGCCTAGATTTATTTTCTTTTAGAACGATAATGTGTACGGTTATCTATCGTGTGTTAGAATGAGCAGGCACTCTTACGCGCCCTGGTTTTGAAATGAAGCCTTTTGTATTGTGGCAATGTCCTGTGGGAGAATTTCCTTTTCAAAAACCTTAAGGAGTACTGAAGTGGCTCTATTTAAAAAAATTAAAAACCAAAATTAGAAGTTTCGAGTAAATCATTTTCAAAATAGGCGGTACATGAGGAGAGGAAACGTATTATAAAAACATTAACGAACTGTAAAAATATAAAAAAAAAATGTTTCTTGAAAGCGCTGATTTGTCTCCATAAAGCACTTTCGTTTTGCTTGTTAATAAAAAATAATGATTTTCATTTCAAAGATCAAATAATAATTTCCCATTTTTATTTGGAAATACGAGGCTTGGGAGGAGAATGTTATTTTACACAGAAATAGTATCAGAGTTATTCATTCTGAAATACCGTATTTGTTTAGGTTTATCAGACGCGTGGAGAAAAATATTTCATTGTTGTATTCATTTTATTGTATTGTCTGCGGGTTCAAATTCATTCCCACAGTTCTTATTTTATATTTTGTTTTAATTTTATTTATTGGAGTGTGAACATTTTTGTATCCAACAACATTAAAATCATAATACGAAATATAAAATCGAAATAAAGTGTAACAACTAGAGTTGGTAACGGGAAACTATAATGTGTTAAATTGCTAGGTCAGGATGTTTCGTTTTGAAAACAGGATTCGCATGAGTTTTATAATATTGACGGTCAAGAGCTTTTAATATTATTTTTTGTAAATGTGAGCTCAAGTGTTTATTTCACTACTCATTATTACATGTTCTGTAATTTATTACAGAACTAATCACTACTCATTATTACATGTACTTGAAATTTTCATTATAAATATATTGAAGCCAAATATTTCGAAATATCAGTATTTGCTGATAGAAAACGATTAAGGCTATTTTAATATTATTTTCAGAATTTTAAATTTTGTATTTTTTACCTTTTTTATGCTTCATATTGGTTTTATTAGTATTTATATTCAGCCTAATTGTTTTATTCCGATTGATTTTCTTTACTCTTGGAAACTGAATAATTAATTTTAGTATGTAGGTGTACTCACAAAGTTTTGTTCTCCAATTCTTGCTATAAAATAAGAAGGGAATATAAAAAAAATACTTCTCAGAATCTTGAACCAGTCTTGTGTCCCCACCTGCGTCAACAAATATGTTTTCAGTTAAATGTTAGTTGCACATTTGTCTAAATACTGCTCCGGGAAATTATTATTTCGAATGTCCCAATGTTGTTGGAAGTTTGTGACTATGTTGTTTTAAAAATTATAGCAGTTCCCAAATGAACACAAATTATCTTCACTGTATTATATTATTTTGTATTAATGAATCTTTACACAGTCACAATTGAATTATATAAAAAGTTTGATGAAAATATTGCTGGGCGACATATACAATCTATTTACTACATTAACGTCTTCATATTGTAAAATAAGAAAAGAGTTATCGTTATTCAAAAATACTGTCGCTACTCGATTCATCATGGAGACCATATGATTAATTTTTTTATGTATCGGAAAACATTTGCCTATAGAGTAATAGAAAAATCATTTTCTAATATTTCTTAGATCATAGACACTTAACCCATTCGTTTGCTCACTAACTTCTGTTTTCCTTTATTTATAGTAATAGTAATGGTGTATATAATGATAACATCGGAAAAGTTTATATGTGGCCAATAGACATGATTTGTAAGGTAGTGTTTTCTGTATGGCTCTGCACTGAAGAGTTGGGTTAATTTATTTAAAAAGTTCTGTTTGAAAAAAAAAATAGATAATAATGCAATAGTGTGAATACATCCGGTGTGTGAATGAGTTGACATGTGGACATTTTTATTAGTCTCTCCCTTAGAGTGAATTCATTATATTTATGACTACAACACAGAACTATTGACGCGGACGCGTACGATCACTAGCAATGGTTGTGTAGAGTTTAGAGACAAACTGTGTCTTCTCTGCCCAATGCAACAATGCTTGTAAAGCGATTTTTGCCCCTGGCACCCTATGGAGGCAGCGGGACTCACGTGGAAGCTGCTGTCACGTGCAACCGGCGGCGTGCTCTTCCGCTCCGGCACTCGGGGTGTCCGTCCCCGTCATCCTCGACCCCGTGGCCCCGCTGCACTGGCTGGCCGCCTTCGCCTTGGCCGTCGCGAAGCGAGACGCACCTCCGGCGACTTGTGCTGGCTGGCGATAACCACTGGGTGCGTCCCGGCGTAGGACGAGGCCCTTCGCCAGCGGGCGCCACACTTACTCGAAATGTTACTTTTAAATGATAGTGGAACTATTTGTTGGATATCAAGAATGACGAAGTCAAATGACTGTGTTATTTTTTTGAACGATTGACGAATCGTTTGTTTGCGCTAATTGCCATTTGGACTATCTGAAGGCCTTCATGCAAATAATATGGAGTTTATCTGTGTTTTAAAATGTTTGGCTAATTTTCTTTCTTTGCATACAGTATCGGTGCGTTAAATCGTTCACTGATGTTAAAAAACAATTTTATTGAATTTTAATTGAAAATAAGCAGCTTGAACTTTGGTAAAGAAGAATTTCATAAATTTGTTCTGGCAAGTTTGCACAGCAGTGCACTCTAGTTGAGGAAGTGCGAAGCGTGAAGTTGCAAGAGGTAACAACAGAGAGCAGCACTCACATTCACTGCAGACAGCTTCTGTGATATATGTGTAGATTAACCGGAATTGGTTTTGAGGCAGGGAAGTGATAAGGCAAAGTAATGTTCAATAACTTTATTGATTCATAGATACGTTTCTTATTACAGGTACAGATCCAGGTCCCTTGTGTTTTCCCTGAGTAGAGTTATGTCTCTTGGCATGAACTCTGAATTCGTATAGCCGTATGTACTAATATTACCATTCAGTCGCATATCATTCAGACTAAATGAGAATACGTAGTTGCATTTATGTTGCAATAGGAAACGTGTATTAACGCCCGAAAAAAATTCGTTTGGGGGCGAATGAAGTACTGAGGCCAATTGAACAGGAGTAAAATTTGATACGAAATCAGAAAATGGAGTTGATTTTGAAACACTGTATTCTTTCTAAACTGGAAATGAGAGACTAGATGCATTTCGCATATATTCCATCAATTCTTACCCTTCTATAAATTCTTACCATTTATGTCACGCCATCGGAGAAGTTTAAGCGTTATGGACTCCGATGTGAGAAGTCAAGCAACATATTTGCAATGCATTGAAGTGCAACTGCATCATTTG